AAGTTTTACCCCTCTCACGTTTTTTTTTCTTTTTTTTATTAAAATTAAAATATATTACGAAAATTTACTATAAATTAGGTAAATTAAAGGGTATAATGGTATTAAAAGAAATTTAAATCTTAGTTACCTAAAAAATCTCCCAAAAATCTTATTGAGACAAATCAAAGTTCAAAGTGTCCTTATTTTCCAATTATCTCTAAAATATATCCTTTGTTACAGTTTACCATATTAATAACTAGAAGCTGAACCGAAACTAAGGAGGTAATTAGTTGAGTAATAAGTGCTGATTTTAAATTTAATTTTTATCTACAACACTTAAATCATTAATCATGATTTATCTTAAATTTTTTAAAGATATAACCAAAAGTTTAAAAATGACTATAAAATCCTTATTTTCTAAAGTCGCATTTTTTGCTGTAGAAAACATGTTGATGTATCAATAAATTTTAAAGCTACATCTGTTACAGCTAAATCAAAAAATTCTATGGACTAATTTTTACAGTAAAATTTTTACAGCTACAGTTCAACCAATCATCCCCTAAGTCTGGCCAATGATCTTTCTAACTCTACAAATCTCTTAGCCGCAAGACCCGTGACCACACCTCTCCCTCCATGCTTGCAATTTGCAAGTTTGGATCATTTAAAAGCATGTGTCGTTACATTCCGTCAACGTTTGAAAGTTGTTACAAAAAGTCATGCGCTCTACTCAACTAGTTACAATAGGTTTAGGAACCTACAAAATAAATTTTGCAATTCTCAAAATCAATAAATAAATTTTGCAATTCTCAAAATCAATAAATTGAACAACTCTCAAAATCAATCAACAAATAGCTAATTAAACTAATGTTTTTAAATAAAGAAGATTATAGACATATATGAACAAACAAACAAGTAGGAAAACTAGGAAAGACCCAATCAGGGTAAAAAAAGATTCAGTAGATAGAGAAGAGTAAAATATTTACCACTTTGGTAAAATATATCTGACTTTGATGAGAGAGACAGAGAAAGCATTTCGTGGGGGTTTTCTAAAAAAAAATCGAAGATATATTTAGATTTGAGATCTGACCACCACAAGAGTTTATCTCCCCTCTTCCTACTTCCTCCTCAGATCTTCATCTCTCCCCTTTCACGGTAACCCTTTATTTCCTTAAAAAAACTTGTCTGATTAACAATCTATATTGACTTGAATCTGCTTTCGTTTTTAATCTCTTCTGAAATCATTTGATCGTCTCTGATCTCTTTTTAATTTGACTTCCGACAATTATATTCCGTTGACCCTTAAAGGTGTGATCTTTCCCCTGTTCTGTCTGTTATATCAAGAATCTGCTGTTTGTATGTTTTGTCTTTTTCTGGAACTGATCTTGTCTAGATATGCATTTGATAATGATTTGATTATGATCTAGATCCTTAAAGTTGAATCCTTTCTTGACAAATTGTTGTTTTTTTCAATGAGATCAGGATCCTCTGTTTTTTTGCTCTGTTTTGAGAAGATGGGTGTTGAGGTTGTAAAGTCCGGTGGATTTGAGGTTGCTCCGGCTCCTTTTGAAGGAAAGCCAGAGACTAACGGGAAGGTTGCGGATAAGGTCGCCATCAAGTTCGGTTCACACGGTGAGCAACCGCCAAAGAAAGCTGAGGAGAGTAACAACAAGAACAATGTGAAGATCTCTGATGTACCAAAAGATGCAGCGGAAGAGTGGCCTGCTGCTAAGCAGATCCGCTCTTTCTACTTTGTTAAATACCGTCATTTCGATGACCCCAAGATCAAAGCTAAGCTTGATGTAGCTGATAAGGAGCTTGAGAAGTTGAACAAGGCCCGGAGTGCAGTTTATGAGCAGTTGAAAGCTAAGAGGGTAAGTCTTTTTTAAAAAGTTGTGTAGAGTTGACTTTTTTTTTTTTTTTTTGTAATGATTTGGATGTTTCTTTTTGATGTATAGGCGGAGAGATCTGAGTTGTTTGACCTGTTGGACCCGTTGAAGACAGAGCGTCAAGGATACAACACCAAGTTTGATGAGAAGAAAAAGGAGATGGAGCCATTGCAGCAAGCTTTGGGGAAGCTAAGGGGTAATGATGGTGGAAATGCTCGTGGGCCTGCTATATGTTCCTCTGAGGAAGAGCTGAATAATATGGTAACAATCTACCTGTTCTGTTGGACTTGTGTTAGCTTTTTACTGGATTCTCATTTGGTTTGTGGTAAATGTAGATATACAGCTACCAGTATAGGATTCAACATGAAAGCATTCCTTTAACTGAGGAGAAGCAGCTTCTTAAAGAGATCAGGCTGCTTGAAGGGACAAGAGACAAGGTCATTGCTAATGAGGCTCTGAGAGCTAAGATCAAAGAATCTATGGGTCAGAAAGATGATATCCAAGGTCAAGTTAAGGTAAGAGAGTGTACTCTTGGCTTTTTTGTTGTTGTTTTAAGTGTGTAAAAGTTGTTTCATATGAGTCTTTTTTGTGCAGTTAATGGGTGCTGGCTTGGATGGAGTGAAGAAGGAGAGGCAAGCCATTTCAGCAAGGATTAATCAGCTGAGTGAGAAAGTGAAAGCAGCTAAAGATGAGATTCAGGTGCTGGAGACTGAGCTGAAGACTGTGACTGAAAAGAGAGACAAAGCTTATTCAAACATTCGTGAGCTTAGGAAGCAAAGAGATGAAACGGTACAAACACATATACTTTTGAGCATGTTCTTGTGATGGAAACACTCTTTGTTTTGTGTATTTTTTTTTCAATGTTCAAGAAATCGCTAGGCTATGGTTTGGTTTGGGGCAATGTTCAAGAAAACACTGATTTTTTTTGTTTGTTTGTTCATGCAGAACTCTGGATTCTACAATGGCCGTAATGTGTTGAACAAAGCTAGAGATTTGGCTGCACAAAAGAACATAGAGGAGCTTGAGGCGCTCTCCAATGCAGAGGTTGAGAAATTCATCTCCCTCTGGTGCAGTAAGAAGAATTTCAGAGAAGATTACGAGAAGAGACTCTTGCCATCACTTGATGCTAGGCAGCTGAGCCGAGATGGACGGATGAGGAACCCTGAAGAGAAGCCTCTGATTGCTCCAGAGGCATCACAAGCAAAGGCTGCTGCGCCTTCTCAAACCGAGGTTGCTCCTAAAGCTAAGGCAAAGCAGCAGCCAAAGGAGGAACCAGTTGCTGCACCTAAACCAGATGCTGCTGCTCAGAAGACTGAGAAGAAGGCTAAAGAGGCAGTGAAAGTAAAGAACGTTGCTGTTGCTGATGAGGATGAGGATGATGAAGTGTATGGTCTTGGAAAGCCCCAGGAGGAGAAGAAGGTAGATGAAGCGGCGTTGAGAGAGATGAGAAAGCAAGAGGAGATTGCTAAAGCCAAGCAAGCCATGGAAAGGAAAAAGAAGCAGGCAGAGAAAGCTGCTGCTAAAGCTGCTAAAAGAGCTCAAATGGAAGCTGAGAAGAAAGAGAAAAAGGTAATTATCAATGCTTTTTGTCCTCTCTTTCTCCATTCTAATAATTCTCCATCTTTATGTGTTGCAGGAGCGAGAGAAGAAGGCCAAGAAGAATGGAGGCGAGGCGGTCTCTGAGGAAGTTCCTGAAGCTTCTGAGGCTGAGAAGGAGGAGATTGAAGCACCAGTGGAGGAGAAACCACTGAAGGAGAAAGTGTTAAAGGAGAAACCAGTAAGGAACAGGATCCGCACTAGAGGAGGACCAGAGACGCTCCCAAGAGCAATCCTCAAGCGTAAGAAGGCGACTAACTACTGGATTTATGCTGCTCCAGCTGTTGTTGTGGTACTGATGCTTCTTGTCTTGGGTTACTACTACGTTCTCTAGATGAAAACGTAGTGAGATCAAGCTGAGGCCTGCGTTGTTGTAGTATGGGATCTTTTAAAAGTTTCTTTTTGAGGTTGAGACTCTTAAGCTTATGCCTCCTTTACATACAGAGTAGCGACTCCTCCCTGATAAGTACTTTTACATTTCACTTTTTTTTTGTTCTTTTTCTCTTCTGTTGTTGAGGCTTTAACTTTGAAGAATGAAAACAGTTTTTGCTACATTTAATAGCTGTAATGGTGTTATAGAAAAACCTGTAAGGTGAAGATGAGGATTAGCTTAGCTAGTAGCAGCAAAGAATACTACATATAATGTTCATGGATCATAATATTGACTGTGTTGTTGGTATCAAGTTCACTAGCTACATATCTGTTTTATGGAGTTAGCTACTATATATCAGGAAAGAACATTATACAGGATGTTGAACTTGTTAACCATAGGAACTATAGCAAAAACTTATGAAACATGTGTTGGTACCTACCCTTGCATTGCATCAACTTAATACTTAGGAACTAATAATGATCTTATGGCCCTAGATTGACCTCACAGAGACCCAATAGTTCACTAATCTCTCATGCATGTGGATTACGGATCTCAATCATACCTTACTACGTGATCAAAAAGTTTGAATGTCTCAGTTAAGCTTCTAAAGTATATAATAAAACATTATGCTATAATTTGATGATTATATATGAAATTTTAAAAAAACTCACAACTCATGCATGTATATGTTAGATCGGGATTGTTGGACTACGTTGATGTATGAATAAACCAAATTTTCCACAAACTTAAATATATTGCACTGTTGTTTAGATGGAAGAGATTAATTGGAATTACACAAGATAACCTAAAAGAGCATGATATAAAAGTAATTTTGAAAGTGTTTTAATTAGTAAATAGAAGAGAAGTTGATTTTGTAAGTATTTACCCAATTCATTTTGTCTCCAGAGAAAAAATGTACTAAAAAAGAAAGCAATGCTCCCATTGAAATGGAGTCTGATGCCAAATACATGTTTAGATTTCTTTTCTGAGCTAAAGCTTTTGCCATAGAAATTAATATACTTTTTGAAACAATACCATAGAAACTACTTTCTTTTCATTTTAAACAAATATTGTGCATTTCTTCTAAATTGTTCTTTGAACACAGATCTCTATAGTTATTTTAATAGTCTATGTCTTATATATTTTTAAATTGGAAATCTATATATAATAGCAAATCATCTATGACATAATTTTTAATAGGCAAACAATTAAATCCAATGGTCATAGTTTTCTTGATTTTAAGATTTAACGGACACAAAACACTCTTTACAATAAGTGTTGATGTCATCAAATTGTTGGCAACTCTTCTTTTAACATGCATCTATTATCATACATTGAAACCAAACCAAAATTTATCATACATTTAAACCAAACCAAAATTTAACCATTAGATTGTATAAAGACATAATTTCTGGTCGTTAGGATCGGATTTTTTTTCCTATATATAGTGTCATCAATTATTAATCTAAAAGGTATGTCTTGACATATTTCAAACATCCAAAAAATTATCTATTGGTTTAGACTTGTTAAACCGGTATTTGCTTACTACTCCAAAATTGCATTCTTTTACAGAAACGATCCACTTGAAATACCACAAAAAAAAACAAATTCTACATAACAATTTGTAAAGGACGTGGAAATATAAATGTATGCACAAAAAAGTTTTCAAAATCTCAAGTAAAGTGGGTAGTCTCTCTTCAAGCATTTGCGTTGTGTTTGTCGACGATGTGTACTTGAAACTGCCATTTCCGACCTAAATGTCCGGTTACAAGATTTGCATGCAAAGACAGCAAATGTCAGTGTATTCTTCCCATTGCGTCTTTGCTTTAAACGTACAGATGAAAATTAGTAACAATATTTTCCATCATTACAAACACGTAGAAAGAATAAAATGTTTACCTTCTTTTTCTTGGGGGTATCACGTGCAACATCATCAGTAGCAACTACTTCAACAGACACGTTTCCTTGAAACAAAAGTAGAAAAAGATTAATCATAGCCTAACAACACTTACAACAACGCAATAGGCACATAAACAAATGTAACAAGCTAACGTACACACGTCATTGTGTACCCAATCCCAATACACACATGACACACATGTCAGGTAATAAACAGAGATAATGGACAAATATCAGTTAATAAACAAAGGTACATATGTCATAATGTTACCTTCTCTTGCGGAGTTAAGAGGGATTTTAGCAAAGTATTTATGGCAGCAAAGGTGAGTGGAGTCTCTTGAAATTCCCAACACTTTTCAATGACTTGAATAAGTGGGTTTTCTGTGTCCATGCGCGACCGCAACAAACTATAAACATGTAAACACGTCTCTTTCCAGTTCTCTGTAGACTTCTTGGGGATAGTGTAAAAATGCCCATCAACGTCAAGAGGAATGTCTCTAGTAATGTTAATAGGGAAACACACTAGGTGAATAAAAGTATGGTTTGTGGTGACTTGACTCATATTTTGGCTGCTCTTATTTTAGAGAAGCTACATGTAATATAGTGGGTCAGATATATCTTGTAGGTAAATATTGGAACTAGACGATTTTGAATAAAAAAGCTGACCAATTTCTTTTTATAAAAAAATTCTAAGCTCAGATCCGTGTCATGGAGCAATATGTCAATTACTACAGTTATATTCATGGGACTGTGACTAAGAGCATCTCCAACCCCACTCCATAATTTTACTGCAAAATGGAGTGGGAAATGGAGTAGTGAACAAACAAAAAAGTGATTACTCCATGATGGTTTGGATGGTTATGACATAATAACAGAACTTTCGACTACACAAATAACATTGTTTGCCAGCTTCATAGGAATTCCAGTGTAACTAACTGCTATCTTGGGTCTTACTTTTATATAATCAACTAAGTATATCAAGATGCAAAATACAAAGACATTATGATGCTTTCAACTATGACTTAAACCTTATGCTAGTTTCAACTATTACTATGCTTTCAAATATGACTTGACTTTATCCTGCTTTCAGTTATGTTACATAGGGTTTGTGAATGGGTTAAGACCAACATTTATATCTAAACTACTTTTATATTTTATTAGAACCATGTTTTTTTTATTTTCGTGTTTAAATTGTATATTGTGACACAAAATAAGATCATGAAGGAAAAACTGACAGAAAAAGAAGAGAATCGAGATCACCAAGACCAAAATTATAGCAATTTATATATTTTTAATTTTTGTATATAAATTATCTTTAAATTTGTAATATTATTTATTTTAGTTATTTTTAAGTGAACTAAAATTTTATATTATTTGAGAAATTATGGATAATGTATTTCTATAATCATTTAATATTTTTTCATTGATTTTATTTTTATTAACCTAAGCTGAAATAATATAATCCATCTTGTTAACCGTATTACATTAATTAAATTTTATTTTAACTTTTAATAATATGAATGATGTTGACATAAGTATTAATATTTATAAGGTGAAAGCTTTTCAAGAACTTCAAAGATCCTGTCAAATTTTATTAAATTGTTTAAAAGATTCCCACATTAAAATATTAATATTAATGATAAAGTTTTACTTGAGAGATCTTTAATACAGATGTTTTTTTTGTGTGGACAACTAATACAGATGATATTATACTACTGATCAGATAGGTTTTGGGTTTGTGAATTCACAACCATATTCCATATATGCATCGATTATTAGAATAACACCTTACTCATAATTCATGGGGTGGTGACTACTGGTAGTTCTTTATACAAGTTTCGTCTTATAACATTTCTGGACGATATAAACAATATTGTGGTGGTCTAGTAGTTCATTAGAGAAGAAATTGTCCTTTTTTTTTGGTGAAACCCATATTACTTATATACTTCAGAAAGTCTCTCACACGAATGAGAAAAGAGCTACAACAAGGCCTGCTTTAGCTAGTCTATCAGCAGTAACATTCTTAAGACGAGGAATAAATGAAAAGGAGATAGATTTCAAGGATCAACTCAACACGCAGATGTCATGGAGGATACCTTGGAGAGATGTCACCGAAGAGTTTCCAGTGATGAGATCAACAAGACTTTTACAATCTGAATAACAGAGTAAGTCTGTGTAACCTGCATCAATTGCAGAGGAGATAAAGTCTTTCAGAGCCAATGCTTCCGCTAGAATGGCTGATGCAACTGAGAGACGGTGAGTAGAATTCTGGAGCAGAAGCTTCCCAGTGTGGTCCTTTATCTGCCAGCCCATACCTGCAGCTTCTCTGGAGTTATCCCAAGCTCCATCAGAGAGCACAAGAATGGTAGAGGCCGTACAAGATGCAAAGAGATTTTCCGGCCATGGGCCGTTTTCTTTTACCTGCCGTGGAGGCGTGAGGGACCGGGAGACCAGCCATTCCTGACCATCCTTTGCTGCTTTGTCAATGACTTCATGTTCTGAATACTTCTTTTCTTCAAACAAGAATTGATTTCTGCTCGTCCATAAACTCCGAAGGATCCAAGAAAATAGAGGTTGAGTCAGACCTGAAGGAGGGAGGTTTAGCATTCTTTGGCAAACCTTTAGAAGATCCGCTATGTCTTCAATGGATGAAGAATTCGGTTTAAACATAGCGGGAGCAAGATCCCAGACTTTCCTTGCAAAAGGACACTTAAGGAAGACATGTAACACGGTTTCATTACCACCACATCTTTTACACTTCCCATCAGTGTCAATGCCTCTTCTTTTTAGTAAGTCTCCCACCGAGAGAGCGTTACTCTTGATTTTCCACATGAATTGACGAAGTTTGGGAGAGCACTTAACGTTCCAAATACATTTTTTTCCAGTCAAAGGAGTTGGTTAGTTGCTGTGGCGTGTTCAGTCTTGAAATCGCATAGCCTGACTTAGAGGAATAAATTCCATTTTTCTTAGGGAGTCAGGCTAATTCATCTTGCATACCAAACTCACTTGGGACGATCTTCTTTATGTGCACCTCATACTGAGGTAAAATGTCTTGTATCAGT